AAATTTGGGTTTCGAGGAATCTCTTGTTTCATAATTGTTCAGCTTACTTCCATTTCGAGTGAAAGTGTTGTGTGAAGAGCATCGAATCTCGAACCTTGTGGTATGCGCCTCTCTTCATTGCCCCCGGCCTCTTCCCCGACCTCAGAAGGCCGACGATCCAGAATCTTCAATCTCCTCACATGCGCCGCGCTCAGGTGGAGTAAGGTGGTTGTTTCGACTGGGCGGGTGACAATGTGTCGCCAAAATTTGCACCAACCGGTCGCTCGAGTCCCGTCGGAGGTGCTGATGAGACGACGAGGTAGGCTTGAAACTGTAGTCGAGTCGAGAAAAGATATTACCTTTTGTATGCCGATCTAACTGAAATTCGACCTCATTTTGAAGCTATTCCAGTGCGCTGTAGAGGCATCGCAACTTTCACTGCCTCAACCATCATCTGCACATTTTTATAAGTCAGAGTCGAAAGATCTGTTCTCATCAAAAGTATGTAGCTCACTTACATTTGTGCCGTGGAAATCCAGTCTGCTCATGTGCCCTCGACTGGACACCATGTTCTCAGTCAAAACAGGAACATTTGCGAAATTCGTCAACTCCCGAGCAAATCTCGTCGAAAATATTTACATCTTAGATGCTAATTTTAATACTATTTTTTCTGTCTTCCCGTAAAAGTGAAGCATTACCCCTTACTCACATCATCCATTCTGGACTTGTTGGCTGAGTGTTAACTTGACAAGAATTTAGTACAAGTCATATCAGTAGTCATGATTGGATGTGAAAATCTATTTGGGCAACTGAAAAGTTGAAATTGTGTAAACTAATGCAACTATTGGGTGATCTTATTTTTGAAAGTTATTTAAACACACTAAGCGAATTTAAGTGCATTATTTCAAGTCTTAATGTCTACGTGAATCGAAGCAATTTCCTGAATTATCTCCTGCCTCGTGAATGAATTATAAATATATTTATTTGTAAAAAGAAATTCTAAAGGGTCATTCTATTCCGGATTGAGCGTCTGGCGGCTGTGAAATGAGGGTGTATGTCTTCATACTGAGCCAATCCTGACCTTCCTGAAGGTGAGGACTGGGCGATGGCTAGTCCAACGAGGCCAACAAAAATTGGCAACATCATAGACTGGCCAGACCGAAGGACAAGATCATTCGTGCAAATGCCAGCTGAATATTGCAATTAAGACAAACATTATGCCATGGTGCTTACCGATGAGAGGCACAAAATCACTCGTCGGCGGCATGAGGTCGGCAACAAGAAGCATAAAAACAGAATAAGAGAGTAGGACCGTTATGCCCAGGTTGACCTGGCAAGGGGCAGAAATAAGCGAAAGAGAGGATAAACGTATGAATTATGTATCAATAATTATCGCTACTATTATATTATTTAAGTAATATACACAATTATTCAAAAATTGGCTATCATATCGTGAGCGCGAGGTCATTCTCAGTTGCCACAAGACTTTACAAGTTATGCTATCCACAATTACGTTTGCCCCTCTACAGACACGAATGCAAATGAATCAAAGTTCAACTTCAACATCAAAATCAGCCTCAAATAAGAGTACAAT